GCAGTGTTGGGCTCCTCGCTCACCTGCTCCGGCCTCAGAGCCCTAATGGATGACATGCAATAGAGATGACAACCACAGCCACCTTCTAAGGTTTTTGTGAGTGTAGATACCTATGCAGCCACCGGCATGATCCGAGGCGTGGCGAGCTCTTAACAGTGATGTGGTGAGAGTTTGGGCCCAGAGGGTGGTGGTGCCCTTTCTGAGCTGAGGTGGGGGTCAGCTTCTCCTTAGTCCCCTGGAGGGTCAGGATTTGGCTCAGCTGATTGCTCTGGTGAAGTCAGAGGCTCGTTAGTCAGGGGACTTCAGGCCTCTTGGGTGCCCCGGAGAGGAGAAAGTGGACAGGCTGGGACTAAAGTCATACCCCCCTTGCCTGCCCCCGGGATCACGCGGCACGGAAGAGCGCATGGTGCCAGGCCTTCCTTGGGCTGAGAGGGGCGATTGTTTCCAGGGTGACATGGAGCTCAGTGCCTCCCACCTGCTCCCCCTGGGCGGGGCTTGTAGGCAGAGCTGCCGTGTCAGGGTGCTGAGCTGTCCTCATGCTGAAGTCCTCTTGTCTGTGGGACTCTCACTTTGTGGGTTGTCGGTATAATAAAAAAAAATTTTTAATTACCCCATCATCTTTGTATTTATTTATTTTATTTTAAAGAAACACAGCAACTCCATTGTTGAACTAAATAAGCCTTTTTGTTTTCTGACTGTACATGGCTGGAGCCTGCCTCCCCCGTATGATTCCGAGTGTGCAGTGGGGTCCAGGCTGGGAGTAGGAGGCCTGGGTTCAGCATGCCCCGCCTGGCCTCAGTTTCCCCTCTGTAATGGGAGGGGGTTGGACTGGATGACTCCGGAGGTGGCTTCACATCGAGCTGTGTAGCACTCTGGGCATTCTTTGGAGACCCTTTGGGGACCAACTGGAGTATTGGGGACCCAAAGGGTAAAGTCCTGAGCCCCTATCTCCTCAGAAGCTTGCCCTTTATCTATTTTTTGTATATTGAGGTTCCTCGTAAGATTTTTGTTTGAAGAAAGGGTGATTAAACAAAGAAAGAAAAGAAGCTGGTATTCCCGAAGTTGTCCTGGGAAGGTCTGTGCCCACCGCGGATGCCCTCAAGGGATGTTTGCTGAGCGAAGGGAAGATGAACGGTTCTTCTCTTGTTCCCTGACCCAAGATCTAAGTCGCCTCCAGCCAGTTAACCTGCTCTCTCACAGTGTGTGTTTGTGCACGTGTCATGTGTGGGGGTGTGGGGGCAGAGGTCCTGCCTTTCCAGGTGGCTGGGCTGCACCCAGGTTCCAGTCACTGAGTTGAGAGGGGTGGTGATGATGTGGTTTTTATCCAGCCTTGGCTCAAGAGTGGTGGACGCCTGCTGGGAGGCCACTTAGCCTCTCTGGAGGTGACCAGCTGGCCACGGACCCTGCAGCGCATCCTGCCCGTGCCACAGCTCCCCCCTCTGGACGGGAGCGAGGGGAAGGAGACACAGGGAGCTCATGTCCCGAGCACCTGCTCTCTGCTGGGCACCCCCGGGGCTGAATCTCCCCTTTCCCGCTTCACCAGCACTGAAAGAGCTCATGGAGACGGCCCAGCCCCGTAGCTCTCAATTCTACAAAGTTCTAGGGTTAGGTGAAGGGCCTTTCCGGTGAGGCTTGAGGTGGGTTTTAACTAGACTTGGGAGAACTGGCTGATGTTGCAACTGAAAAAAGGGGGGATTTTTTCCAAGCTTCCCAATTTATTAACTAGAATCAGAGAACTAGAGGAGAGAATCAGTTTATTCAAGGCTGCAAAGAAAGTCAATAGCTTATAACAATAAGTCCATTTATTGGGGACTTACTGTGTGTTGGCATATGATACACGTATGATCTTCTTCCCCAGAACAAACTACCAAGTAGGAACAATTATTATCCCCATTTGGCAGATGAAAAAACTGAGGAACAAAAAAGTGAAATGATCACAGATTCAAGAAGTGACAGAGTGGGGACTGGAATGGGGAGGTGGCCCCATTCACCCTAAGTTATGGCACCAGAGAGTGTGTGCCAGGCTGCCCTGCTGGATGGCGGGCAGGCAGCCTCCACGCCTACTGTGGTTGGTCCATTCCTCCATCTAAGCCTGGCTTCTTCAACATAGCCCTGGTCATCTGAGCCAGCCCCCTTTGTGGTGGGGAAGGCAGGAATGGAGCCCCAGGACATGTCTGCATCCAGGCCTGGGCTCCAGGATGAAGGATGCCCCGCCGAAGGCTGCAAGAAACGGAGGACTGAGTGAGCCTTTGTGATGGAGTGATGACATGGAGGAATGCCACACTGATTCATACTTTCCCTTGCAGAACTTGTGTGTGACCTTGGTGACATCACTTTCTTCTTCTTCTTTTTTTTTTTTTTTAAATGTTTTTATTGGCTTTTTAGAAAGAGAGGAAGGGAGAGATAGAAACATCTCTGTGAGAGAGAAATATTGATCGGCTGCCTCCTGCACACCCCCTACTGGGGATCGAGCCCAGGCACGTGCCCTGATCGGGAATTGAACCAGGACCTCTCAGTCCATGGGACGATGCTCGGTCCACTGAGCCACACTGGCCAGGCACACTTTCAACCTTCAGGTACCTTATCTGTAAAATGGGCCTCACTGTCCTAGTCTTGGTGCTTCTGAATGAAGGTTCTAAGGAGGTAATAGTCATGAACATGCTTTTCTAACTGGACAGTGCCATGTGCCTGGGAGGGTGTGTGGTTCACTAAGCAGGTGGGTACCGAGTTGGGAAGGTGTGGTGCTGCCACTTTTAACCTTATTGGAACAAGGCAAGGTAAACATAAAAAACAAAGGGGTTGTAAAACCTGGCTTCTCTCCTTCCTCTCACCTGCTGTGTGTGCGGGGATGTGTCAGCCCTCTCTGTGCTTCCTGCTTACTTCTGCGCAGTGGCGCTCGCTCCCGTGGGAGCTCAACATGTAAACTGCTCCAAACTCATCAGCAAGGAGGGAGCTAGGTGAGTATGAGATAGCATGGTGGCCCCAGCCCTGCATACTGTCACCACTGTGGGGTTTCCCCTACAGGGACCTGGAATCCCAGCTGGGAAGAAGAGTGGCTTCTCCAGGTTCCATCACTAGCCTGTGACCTTGGCAAGTCACTCACCCTCTTTCTGCTACATCAGTTAAACAGGGATGCCACATCTCCTCTTTCTGCTTCAGAAGGCGTTTATTTTGAGAAGCAAGGTCAATAATGGATGTGAAAATGCTCTGGGGGAAAAATAGAAAGTGTGATACAAATGTTCGAGCCTCTTGTTGTAACCTTTACCTTCCTGCTTACTCTGCTTTTTTCTCTCCCACCACTGGGCCTGGTGCTGACCTCAAAGCAGACACACAAACCCTTAATGAATGGAGACAGGTGGCTTGCGAGTGAAGCAAAGGGAGGCTGGAAACCTGTTGTTTCTGCCATTGACAAGCTTGGGATTGGGAGCAAGCCCCTGATCCTGTCTGGGTTTCAGTTTCCTCATTTGTAAATGAGAGGTCAGCTGGGTCATCTCCAAAAATCTGCCTAGCTCCGATGGCTCTGAAATGGGAACGAACAAAGTGGTACTGTTCTTTCTCACTCATTTCCAAAACATTTCTCAAATGTTTAGTACATACCCACTCTTAGTCCGCACGAGAGCCTGAAGCTTTGTTTTCATAACAGTCCTCTGAGGGACAGGCAGATCGCTGGTCACCACTTTATAGCTGAAATTATGGAAGTTCGGAGAGGGGACATGGCTTGTTCAGTCACACAGCTAGCAAATGACAGGGCTGGAACTCAAACCCAGGCCTGAATCCAAAGGTCACCCTCATTCCATCTGCCACATAACCTCTGTGTCCCAGTTCTTAGCCCCCTCTTCACCTTCTCTGAAGGCCAGGTGACTTTTTAAAACAGTTTGAGGAAGGGGCTGGGCAGGCTTGGCTCAGGCAGCCTCTCTACCAGATGTTATATCACTAACTCCCCTTTTCCCTCCAGCCCCTACCCACCCAGAGTTCTAGAATTAAGGGGAGAGAGAACAGGTTGAGCCAGCGGAGACCTCACCAGGGTGACCTAGATATGTTTCCTAACCTTGTCTTCAGCAGGTAGCATGACCTTGGGATGGCTGCCCCTTTCTGTGGTCAGGATTGTTCTGTTGAGCGAATGAATGGTCGCCAGGGGGAGAGCAGGTGCTGTTGGCTCCGGGCGAGGATAACAAGCTCTCCTCTCGCACCTTGCCCCCTCGGAGTTACCGTCTGCCTGGCAGATGCGCCTCCCAGGCCTCTGGGGCTGCCCCAGTTTCCCTCCTGGGATCAGGGAGCCCGCTCCTCCGCTCAGAAGCCACAGTCTCTCCCAGAGCTCATGGCGGTTGCTGGAAGGGAGGCCCCGAGGGCAGAGGGCTGCAGGCCCGGGACGTCCCCAGCTGAGGCAGCGGACGTTGAGAGCCAGGCAGGGCATCCCAGGCGAGCCCTGCGTAATGAGGCGCTCCCCTCTCCTCCGAGAGGCGGGGGGGCCCTTTCCTTCCCCCACTGCCTCCACCCCGAGGCCCCGCGGGAGCCGGAGAGCGGGGAGAGGGGAGGGAGAGTGTGAGGCCCAAGGGGCCAGGCCCTGAGATTCTCAAGTGGGGCGCAAATGTGGTGGTGGGTGGTAGGTGCCCCCTGGTTTGATATTGGCAGGGGAGTTCGCGTCCGTGGGTCACCTTGGTGCCCTCCGACCTTTTGCCCCAGCATCCGGCCTCTAGGAAGAGATCGGCATCCACCTGTCCTTCCTGGAGTGTGCGTCGTCTGCCCGCTCCCCTCCTGCTTGCCGAAGCCCCACTCCCCACGGCTCCCCGCGGGAGGCGGAGCGGGCGAGTCCGGCGCGGAGCCGCCGCACACCGGCTCGGGGCCGGGTAAACACCCGCGGGAGGGGGCGCGGGGAGAGGAGGCGCCCGGAGGCCGCCAGGCCGGGGCGGGGCTCGCTGGGGCCCCTCCGCGCGGGCGGGACGCGGGGTGCTGGGGGCGGGGGCAGGAAGCGAGCCGCGGCCCGGGCCGGCCGGCGCGGCCCCGTGACGTAGCTCGGCTTCCAGGGATCTCTCCCCGAGGCCCCGGGTCCCCTCCTCCCCGCCCTCCTCTGCTCTCCTCCCGTGCCTCGCCTCCGCGCCGCGGCCGGCATTTCTGGCTTGCAGCTTGTTGGCTCCTCAGACCCGGCTTCCCTCTCCTTCCTCACTCAGCTCCTGGTTCCCTCCCGACCCTCTTTCTCTCCCCCTTTCTTGCCCTTTCTGTCTTCTCTCTTGCCTCTGCCTCTCCGACCCCGATCTAGTCTTCTCTCCTGTTCCTTCCTCTTTCTGTCTCTTCGGTCTCTTTTTGTCCATTCCCTGCTTCCCTCCCTCTCCCTTTCGGTCTGTTTTTCTTCCAGTCTCCCTCTCGGTGGCTCTTTCCCCCTCCTTCCCTCCGGGTGCCCACCCCCCCTCTCGTGTGCTCCCTCCTCCCTCACTTCCACCTCCCCCTCCCCCCCGCCCCTCGCCACCCCGCCGCTCGCAGCTCCCCAGTCTGCCTCCCGGACCTGCGCCGCCGCCCGCACTCGCCGCAGGACCAGCCCGCCGGCTCCCCGGAGTGCACCCGTCTCGGCCCTCGCCCTCGGGGCTCGCTGGGACACCCTTCCTCCTCCCGGCTCGCGGCCCCGCCCGGCCGGCCCCAGCCCAGCGCCGAGCCCGCCGAGGATGTGAATCCTGCTCGCCTCTGCCGGAGCAGCCGCCACTCGCGCGCGGAGCCGGAGCGCAGCGCAGCGCAGCGGCGGGCGCTCGCCGGGTCGCTCAGGCGGGCTGCGCGCTCCTGCCCTAGCGGTGCCCCCTTGCCTCCCGCCGGCGCCACTGCCGCCGCCACAGCCCGAGGGCCGTTCCCGGCCGGCCGCCCCCGGCCCCAGCGCCGCTGACCCTGTCCGCCGCGGGCGGGGACGCGGGCGGAGGAGGCGCCGCCGCAGAGCCCCCGGACGCAACCATGTCGGAGGTGCTGCCCTACGGCGACGAGAAGCTGAGCCCCTACGGCGACGGCGGCGATGTGGGCCAGATCTTCTCCTGCCGCCTGCAGGACACCAACAACTTCTTTGGCGCCGGGCAGAATAAGCGGCCGCCCAAGCTGGGCCAGATCGGCCGGAGCAAGCGGGGTGAGTTCGCGGCCTCCTCCCCAGACACCCCCTTTCTCGGGCACTGAGGCCTGGCGGAGGTTGGCGGGGGTCTCCCGCACCCCGGAGCCCGTTCCGACCCAGTGGAATCCTATCGTGCGGAATTGGGGGATCCCGCACTGCGGGTCCGGCTTTAGCTGGCCGCGGACTCCCTCCTCCTCAGCCCGATTCCCGGTGGGGTCACCCAGGGGGCGTGGCGGCTTCTAGCTGCCCCGGGGGCTGGATGAAGGTTATACTGGGACCCCATTCGCACCGAAGTTTGCTTTTTAATTTCTACCCCTACCCCCCTTTTGCGCAGTGTAGTTGCTCTGCAACCCGGAGGGAGGGTGGTGTCCCAGGACTCCCCAAGGGACGGCATGGGGAAGTGCAGAAAGACCCCACTCCTGCGGGAAAGTCGAGGGGCTTTCGAGGTTTTCATTGTGACTCAGGGGGAGGGAGTTTGCCGAGCGCACAGGCTCGGCGCGAGAGCTGGAAAAGCCCGGGAGAGACGGGGGCACCCACCGCGAGGCTCGGAGAGGAGCTCCCGAGGCGCGGGGACAATGAGGGAGACCTATAGCAGCCGGGAGACACTGAGACGCAGAGGCAGGGAGGCAGCCGGTTGGGGGTGGGGACCGAGATGGGCAGAGACCGAGACAAAGCTCGAGAGAGGGAGCCAGGGCGGAGAGACAGTGAGCGGGGACGCTAGTCTGGGGAGGGCAGAGAAGCAGCTGAAACAATGAGGGAGACCGGCACCCCAGACACAGAGACCTGGACAGGTGACTGTCGGGCCGATTAATGGGACTGAGGAAGGCGAGGCGAGGTCGAGATGGCAAGAGAGGCGGAGGACGCAGGGAGAGGCAGATGCCGAGAAGTGGCGAGCCCCAGGCAGACAGCGAAGGGAGGCTCTGACCTCTGTAGCGGTAGGGAGAGCAGAGAGGCCGAGTTCACTCAAGAGCGGGTCCCGGCCCAGGCGAGGCCAGATCCCTCGACCGGCGGCACGCCGTGGGAACCAGCCCCTAGCGTCCGCTCCCCGTCCCCGCCGCGCCTCACCCAGTCTTGGCTTCCCGAGCTGCTCTTGGAGCATCCTTGAGGGTCCCAGACCCGGAGACCTTGGCCCTTTCTAAATAAATGCACCCTGGGGGTGGGGTGGGTGGTGTGGACTCGGCCAGAGCTTGGGGATTTGCTCCTTCTCTGCTTCCTTTTCTTAGAACCGAGCCGGGACACAGCCAGCGGGTGGGGGGAGTGATTCAGAGGAAAGCCACCGAGGGACCCCGGGCAGGCGGAGACCAAAGAGGATGGGGCTGTATCTGCTCACAAGGAGCCCGCCTCTCCTGCGCCGCCACCCCCACCCCTGCTCTGGGCGTAACCGAGACCCCTGGCGAAGCCCAGCGCACTCACTTTTCCTTTTCTCCCCCCTTTTTTGCAGTTGTTATTGAAGATGATAGGATTGATGACGTGCTGAAAAATATGACAGACAAGGCACCTCCTGGTGTCTAACTCCCCCAAAGACAATGAGTTAAGGGAGAGAATAAGAAATAAGAACGGCGGTAACAGTTACTGGCAAAAAGAGCGTGAAAAGAGAAAGCACTTTGAAATTTATTACTAGCTTGCTACCTGCGATGAAATCAACAACCTGTATCTCGTGTCAGGCCGGGAGACAGATGAGGCGGGAGAAGGAGGAGGAGGAGAAGGCTCTGGGCTCCTCTGCAAAAATAAAAATTAAAAAAAAATTAAAAAATAACAAAATCACTATATACACACATATAAAGAAATAAAAAAGAAGTCTCAGTTGCAGCTGTCAAAATTAATATCCATTTCTTTTTATATACAGTGAATATTGCGCAATTATAGATCCGGATTTTGAGCCACTTAAATAATGAAGTGGCAACACCGGGTGTTTTGAGGTGTTGGCATCCTTCGCTGATTTGGCTGTTCCCAATGTTTACATTATTTGATCTTGCAAAAATTATTCTGTGCACTTGGATGTGAAATGCTGTTCGGTTTTATTTTTTTATGTTGTTATCCTTGGATGTACAAAAAAAAAATATCAGAAAGTGATCTGTATAGGTACTCTGTTTTATTTTGGTCATCTTTCAAAGTTATCAGGAATGTGTTGAAAATAAGAGAACTTTTCTAAGGAATGATACATAGAAAGAATCCTTGTTTTATTTTAAAATGACTTGTAAAGCTTGTGTTTCTTTGTTGCTGCAAGCTTATTTGCCCAAGTTAATGCAAATGGACACGTTTTATATGTCAGGAGAGAAAAACCATAAAAAAAAAAAAGAAAAAGAAAAAAAAATGCTTGAGCTTTTTCTAACCTCTCTCTGCAGTCTGTTGTGTGAGCAGCCTGTTTTTTTCCTCCAATATTGTGTCAGTTTATTTTCTTTAATGGACTGTAAAAAAATGTAATCACAAGAGTGCCAAATATCTTGAAATGCCAAAAGGCATTTTGGTTTCCTTTCTTTTTCCTTGTGCTCTGAGTCCACGTAAAGGAATGCTTAGAGTGTCTTTTCTGTTATTTATAGGGGTTCTCTTAAGGCACACCAGCTGCCTGTTTTGCATGGTATTTGCAAAAATGCCTCTTGCGTGAGGAAATCTTTTACCATTTTTTTGTTCGCAACTTTGGACCTCAAGAGGTTTCTTCCCTTCCCTTCCTTGTTCCTCTTTTCTTAATTCGATATTCTGTATGTTGCACCTTTAACCAGTACACAGGGCTATTTCTCCGATGTACAATAAAAGAACTGTTCCTGTGTCTCATTCCTCTCTTTTCTCTGCTTCGGTTCTGGGGGACTTGCTTTTTGCCTGCTGGATGCACACAGGAAGGAGCTGAAGGGTGGCTTTGGTCTGTGAAGCAGAAAGGCGAAGTGGAGGGCACTGTGGGTTGGGCTCAGATGGTGGGAGAGACAAGCTGGACAGGCAAGGCCACCCCCAAAGAGCGCGTTCATTCAGTGTGGATTTGCACTGGGTTCTCTCTGCGTCCCTGAGGTTCCTGCCATCCCTGGTGGGGTGTGAGAGATGGAGGGCTGGTGTGTTGGAGGCAGTCAATCTTGTTAAGAGTGATGTTTGGAGGCTGGCAGACTTGGATTCAAATCCCAGTTCCTTCCCTTCCTAACTCTATGGACTTGAGCAAGTCCCTTCACTTCTTTAAGCCTCACTTTTCAAATCTGTAAAGTGGGAATAATGCAGTTCTCACCTCCCAGGGTTGTTGGGAGGATAACAACACCCAGTACATCATAGCGCTCAGGGTCATATGTCCACACAGTCCTTTACTGAGGGCCACCTGTGTGAAGAAGAGCGAGGTGACCCTCATCCCTTCTCCATCCTGAGTTCACAGGTCCCTGCAGGAGGGATGAGCCGGGTCCTCCAGGGCCCACAGCCTGGGACGTCTCAGGCTTCCGCTCTCAGCAGCTTTCCTGCAATCACCGCTCAGAAAAGCTTGCTATGAAAAAAATTTCTCGGCCCCTTGCTGTGTTCAGGGTAGTTAATGGAGGTGGAACAGGCCCAGAGCCCAAGTGCCAGGATGGGGATACAGTCATCTGACCCTCTGGGGGAGGAGGGGTTGGGAGAAGGATTTTGGCTGAAGAAAGGCAGGGAGAGTTTTTTCTCCTGGGTTGTTCCACATCCAGGAGCCCCAGTGCCGGGAGCTTTTAATGTGTTTGTTGTAAAACTGTCAGCCCGGGAGTCACAACACAGCTCACAGTGACAGGAGCCTGCCTGTGACTCAGACATCAGGTAAGACAGGCCCTGGGGTGGGGTTGGGGGGAGGAAGAGGGGCTCCAGAGGGCCTGTGGGGGAGGGGTGATGTCTCATCCCCCCCTTCCCAGGCAGTGGAGGCCCAGAGCTCAGGACCAAGCAGGGAGCTTGTAATCCCATTAGTCATTATTAGGAATGGCAGGCAAGCTGGCACTGGCAGTGCCAGCAGGATGATTTGGGAATGCGAACTTGATTTTCCCAGGCGCATGCCCGGTCCCCGAACCTGGATGTGCTCCCTCCTGACCCTAGAGAATCCCAGCGCTGTGGAGCTAATGGGCCTGTAGCCATTACGAAGCCCCACTTTTCCTGTGAGGCCTAGGGGTGCCTCACAGAGAGGCAGGGCCCACCTTCCACTCACCATCAATCTGCCAAGGTGGGTAGGAGCCACCTGGGAGGCTTCCTTCCGAAGGCACAGGCATGTCTGCGCCAGGGGTAATTACCACTTACCTGATCACAGCACTGTGCAGTTACGAAGAGCTTTCCCTTCCACCCTCACGTAACTGGCCCAGCAACCCTGGAGACCCACCACCATGAACTCTTAGTAGGTGAGCAAACTGACACCCCAGAAGGACTACAAGGACCACACCGTGTCCACATTAATAAAGCTTTTGCTGTTTACCCCACTCACAATAGCCCTATGAAGTCGACATTACTATCCTGATTGTGCAGGAGAAGCCAGGGCTCAGAGACATTAAGTATCTTGTGTGAGGTCACTCAGCTAGTTAAGTCACTGGGGCAGAACTTGAACCCAGAGCCCAAGTGCCAGGATGGGGATGCAGTCATCTGACCCCAGACCTGGGCTCGGTCCCAGCTGCAGCCACTGTCCTGAAGCCTTAAAGATCCTTTTGTTGGTTTGTTGTTTTGAGGCTGGCTCTCCTGCTATTCTGTACAACAGACAAGCCGTAAGGGGTCAGAGGGAGGCAGGGCTTGGATGTCGTTAGCCAAGGCCCCGAGCTGCCCTCTGCTGGGAAGGGGGGGAGAGCATGGGAGCCCTTGGCCGAGGCTCCAGGTCCATTTTAATAAGTGATGTATTAAAATGTTCCTGCTGGAGGCCACCCCAGCAGCCAAGGCAGGATTCTCTGCCTGGGAAGACAGAGTCTGACTTTCCCGAGGACTCCACTCAGCTAAAGGGAACATAAATCTTATCCATCCGCTCTAACGTTGGGGTAAACATTTGTTGAGAAGGCACTTTGGGGACTGGGCAAATATCAAATTATACCAAGTGCAGGATATCTGGTTAGGTAGCAATAAATATGAAAAAGGCCATTAACAGTCTGAGGTGGGGGAGGGTGTCTCCAAGCCGCCACGTAGGGATGGCGCACCCAGGGCTGCATTATTCAAACTCCACTAATTGAATGCTTGTAATAAGCATCCATCTCTTCGGCTTCTGCTTCTGTGGCCTGTCCAGGCTGACAGCCTGAAGGAATATCAGAAAGCACCTCCACGGGGGAAATTGGCAAATGAAGTTTTAAAAGAAAGGGGCTTGAAATTACTGCTGTCTGGAGACCACAGATGAAGGAGTGAGCTCAGGGCGCCTCTGCAGACAGCAGGCAGCAGACTCTGAGACCCCGAGGGCCTGGCGGAAGGGACAGATGTTAGGGTGGTGGTTTGAGAGTAAAGGGCACACATTTGAGACTTTAGATGACTTGGATTGGAAACTTCTCTGCTGTGCTTCCTAACTGTGACTTGGGGCCAGTTTCTCAAGCTCTTAGGGTCACTGTAAAATGGGGATGACAAAATGTCCCCTGCACAATTAGACAGATCCAGCACAGGGCCTGGTGCCTAATAAATGGTTGCCATTGATATGAACATATGTGAAGTGCCTACTATGTGCCAGGTGATGGACTTTCAAGACCTAGCAAACAGTCTGGCTGCACAAAGCTTCTTTGCAGATGGTTTTTGGCAGCACAGAACCGATACCCCAAGGGTACTTAAGGGGCAGTGGAGGCATCATTTCAGGGTGGTTGGTGGAGTAGGGGAGTCAGCTTGTTTCTCATGATCTCCATTAGCTCCTCAAAGCAGCCAACAAATCCAATTCCAAGTAAATCTGTCTGCTTGCTCTCCAAAGCAGTGTCGAGAGAAGTCTCGCCCCCTCCTAACCAGATTGTCCGAAGTCTTCCCTCTCTGGATCGAGGTATGACTTTTTGCCCTAGGAAGGGAAGAGCTTGGCTTTCTGCTTGGATCCCTTCCTACAGATCCTTCTTGAGTTTCATTCATTTGACAGATATTAACTTAGCACCTATTATGGGCCAGGCCCTGTGCCAGGCTCACTGGGTACGCAATGGCAAGGAAATATGTTTTCCCTGGCTTTGAAATGGTGCTAGTACCCACAGAAATGAGGGTGGGAGCTAGGGGCTTGGATACCCCTAAAATCAGCAGCTCAGATTCTTAATGCTGTCAAAAAGAGGGAACCAAGGGAACTGGGTCTTGGGATTACCTGAAATGCAAACACGGTAGCATGGTAGCAAACAGGAGAGCCACGTAAACATTTTTTTTAATGTCAGAATCATTTAGATTTACAGAAAAGTTGTGAAGAGAGTACATCTACCCCTGACCCAGTTTCCTCTATTGTTCATGTCTGACATTACTATGAATGGTACATTATTCACCATGAAGGAACAAAAACATTGGTTCATTACTATTAACTGAACTGCACATTTCATTCAGATTTCATTTGTTTTTATCTGACGTCCTTTTCTGTTCCAGAATCCCACATTCCTTTTAGTCATCATGTCTCCTTGGGTACCCCTTGGCTGAGACGGTTTGAGACTTCCCTTGTTTTTGATGGAATACTGGTCAGGTATTTTGTAGATATCCCCTCAGCTGGAGTTTGTCTGATGTTTTTCTCATAGTTCAACTGGAGTTATGGGTTTTGGGAGGAAGACCATGGAGATAAAGGATCATTTTCTCATCACATCATGTTGAGGACACATGTTATCAACATGGCTTGTCACTGTTGATGTTGACCTTGATCACCCATCCAGCTGAGGTTGCATTGGTCAGGTTTCTTCACCGCAAAGTCCCTCCCCACTTCTGTGCTCTTTGTAAGGAAATCATTATGTTTAGACCACTTAGAGAGTGGGAAGTTATCTCCCTCTCCTTGAGGAGGTTGTATCTCCATAAATTACTTGGGATTCTTCTGCCCAGGTGATGCGAATGACCCACTTTTCAACGGTTCAACTTTACCTCTGTGTTGGGCAAGTCACTGTGGTTTAGATGTAATCTTGAGTTCCAGGCAAACCGGGGAAAAACAAAAATGCCCACAAGACCCAAGGTACTGCCTGATGACCAATAGATGGAACCTTAAAAGAGAGAGAGAGAGAGAGAGGGAGAGAGAGAGAGAGAGATTAAAAACAAAAACAAAACCCTTCATAAAAGCAACTTCCTGTGGAGGGGAACTGTCACTCTGCTTAGAAACTGTGCAGAATTTTCTTTTGGAAACCTTCAGGCAGCTGCTCTGGTTTATAAAAGCTGCCTTTTGGAGGGAAGGAGAAGGGGGGAAAAGGTTGTCCTATTCCAGCAGCAGAGATTCTCCCAAACCATGTGCAAAAAATAAATCCTTGGAGACCGAGCTGTATCCGGGGAAACCTGGCAGCTGGGCTGGAGCTTGTGGGGTGGCCCCCGGGGATAGAGAGCCTGTGTCCTTCGGCCCCAGCCACTACTCCACTGGGACCAAGAGCCCAGAAAGACAGCCCCACCTTGCTGGCACGGGCCTCCATCCATTTCCCCCGTTTTCTGGGATGAAGATTTGGTTTCTCCTGTTACCTCTCACACAGAGGGTTTGTTATTAACCCTGGCAGTGCACACCCATGGGTCTGCAGGAAGGTCCTTGACCCAGAAACAGCTGTTTGAGGACAAAGGGTCACTAAAGGGGAAGGGAGGTCAGGAGGGACAGGCTGAAGGGAAGAGCAGGACCCGGGAAACGTGCCATGGGAAATCCTAAAGGAGTGGTGATGGGGGCGGGTGGGTGGGGGCAGACAGCTAGGACAGGAAGTTGCCGGGAG